ATGATACTGTTTTGTCAGTCACTTGGTCAACATTTACAGTGTTCACTAGATCTTAGTATGTGAAGATACTATGTCCGCAATGTGTTCATTTGAGTATGATGAGGTGGGTGTGTCATTTTGGAAGCCACTTTACAATCCGTAATGGACAAAAAATGATGGGATTGGGACTTGGTCAAACACTGGTAATATTTTTCTACATAAGAAGAATGTCAGGGGATCAGGCTAATGTAAGACTTTGATGTGGCGCCCGCCGCCCAGTTGTGCTAGTGTCTACTTATAAGTATCTCGACAAATATGCTGTTTCTCAAATTCGCCACGACTAAATGTTCCAGGACAAGACGGACATGAGATTCAACAAGTGGGACTGTGCCTTTGAGTGACTACAAAGTTAGTTCTTTCCCAGCGATCTATTTGGAAACTGCGGCAATAAAAGAAGCGCTATGAGTATTGAGAACATTTGTGTTGATGTGTTGGGAATTCTTACCTATGAACAGTTGATAGACGGCAACTTACAATGCACTTTGGAAGTGCTGAGGTGGAAGATGTGTAGGTCAGATTGAGAGAATCAGTGTGTAGGTGAGAATGGAAGAAGCTTACTTGATGGCTTGGGTTGTCGAACAGAAAAAAATTGACTTGATCTTGGGCAATGTCGCCATCTGCATCAGGCACGCCCAATATGAAGTGTTGGTAGATGTTGATGAGGGCAAACTTGTTGACATGGGACAGGATGAATAGGTCAGGGATGTGCCCTTGTAGGGCAAAGCGTAATTTGTCCTTTGTTTGGCCTGGAAGTTCGGAAGCCTCGAGCACAGGAGGAATAGCAGAGAAATGTGGACAACAGGCGGGGGCTGTGTGTACATAGCGTTTGAAGAGTTCAATTGAATCTGGTTTCTTGATCAAATTCAAAGGAGCAAGTGCTTTGTTGGGAGATTTGTGTTGGACTGCAGCATGAAGGACCTTCTTAGTGCTGGTGTGATGGTTAGGATCAAACAAAGGGTCAAAAGCATGGGCGTATTTGTTGAAGTGAAGCGCCCTAGTAGACCCGTTGGCATGTGAGGGTGAGGAAACTGGGGTTGCATTCAAACTGTTGATGACTGAAGAGTGCTGCCTGATGACCGGTGAGACATGTTGATAGAAAAGATTCTTGAGGGCTGCTTTTGCAAGGGATGAAGTCTTCACATTGGGTTCAAAATGATTGATGAATTGTTCAATGAGAGCCTTGGTGGTTGATCTAGCATCCAAGTTGACATTGGGTTCCAGAACAAATTTCAAGCGAATTGGGAGACATTGGAACTTGCGCTTGATAACAGAGTCGTGGTTTGGAGTGGCAAGGGATGTCTGAGGCAAAGCGGGGGTAACGGGGGGTGTGGAACTCATAAGAGTTTCTGGGCTGTTGGTGTTCGAAGAGACATGGGGGTAGCTTTGAGGTGTAGTGTGACCACGTGCGGAAGGCATGATGGCCTCTGTGATACAAAAAACGTGTCAGCTAAAGAAGGAATGTCAAGACAAGGATGCAATAATGAACAGGCACACACAAGGCCTTGTGAAATTGGTCAAGCTTGTGTGGATGTTGGGGTAACCAAGGTGGCTAGCTCGCCGTCTTTTATACAAATCTGGCCTGTAACGGGGGGCCGCAATCTGCACCGGTGTTGTCCAGTTGGGCGGAAGGATCTAGGGTAAGCTCAGTGACTGGTGATTGATGTCCTGAAACTCATGGCAGGAATGTAGTTTAGAAACTCACCCAAACATTCATGTCTTGCAATAGCGGTTTGTGTGTTTCCAGCCTGAAATCAAGGGTCCGCTGAGAGCAACACGGCCACTATACTATACAGTATTTTGATACTGTAGTATAGTATCAAATTTTAATATACTTTACTTGGACAGTATAGTATCTGACCACGTGTAATATACTATACTTGAGTATGTATAGTATCTGACCACTTGTAATATACTATACTCGAGTAAGTATAGTATTAAAAACTACAGTATAGTAATGCAGTATATCACTGCTTTACCAGTATCAGAGTCTTGGTACCAAGTTTAATCAACTACACTCCATCAATCACACAATACTTCATCAATGTTGTCTGACTCCTCTGATCCTCCTGGAGAACCTTCAAGGGAAGATACAATTCAACGCCCCACTCTCCTCCGTCGACGCTCATCACGAATTGGCTCAATTCAAGCTTCTAGCTTTGATACATCTCAAGGCCCATCAAATAATTTACCAAACTCACAGCCGAGGACAATCAAATCAAGGCAAAGATCAGCTTCTGTATTGAGCAATGACAAAATCCAACATAATTCAAAGGTTCAGAAAAAAAATGTAGTAAAGGAGCAAGTAATTAAAAAAAATTGACAGGTCCCAAACGAGCAAAGCAGGCAGCTCAGGTGAGAGATAGTTCTTGGACTTACTTCATTCTGGATGTACTAATCCAAGTGATTTGATCCTTCTAATACAGTCAGCACCAATCCGTGAATCAATCCTTAGGCCTAACGATATCAATCTTCAACAAGACTCTGATGAGGAAAACTCAAAAGTTCAACCCGATTCCAGCACTTCAAAATCTGTGTTTGATGACATCTATCTTTACTTTGAAGACCCATTTCATGGTGATAAGGATGTGAGTATTGTCTAACAGATGGATTCAAGTTGATTGTGGCTTATTATATGAAGATCTTTATCATTTGATGTAGGATCCTACCCGACGTGGTAACTCCTTTCCTTGTAAATGGTGTACAGGAGCAGACAATAAACCAAAGACTGTTTGTGGGGCAATAAGCTCGGAAACCAACTTATTGGCACATCAAGATGGTTCAACTCAGGGTGGAAAGTCCGGGAACCCAGGCTGCACAGGCCGCGTCAAGACTATTGCTGCTGGCGCTCAACTTCCACCAACTGGTATCGAAACTCGAGGTGAAGATATTCTTGATGATGAGAAGATAGATGTTGCTTTGGCTCGGAAGGTTGGAAAGTTCAACAAGAAGACTTTCAATCAGATTTTGGTTTTATGGATGATCAATAAAGCAATACCCTGGAGACATGCCGAAAATAGAATCTTACAAGCTGCTTTCAGATACGCCAACATTGAGGCCGAAGTTCATGGCCGAACTTGGTTTGCTACACAAGGTCATCGTCTCTATATTTCATTAAAGAACGCTCTTTTTGATTCTCTTTCTGTAAGTGCAAATACCATCCATTTAAGTATCAAAGTATCCATATTGACATTTAACAACCTTTGTAGAACTTAACCAGTAAATTCACGATCATACAAGATGCCTGGACCAGCAAGGGAAGTCGATTCGGATTTTCAAGTTACTCTATCACTTACATCAATAACAATTGGGAGTATTTCTCCCAACATCTCGGTTTCAAACTCATAGCATGGTATCATAATGGCGAGTGGCTTGCTGAGCCATTAATCAATCTTCTACGGAAGCATAAGCTATATCCCAAAATAAGTTTCTTTTATGTAAATTTCACTTTCCAATTAGATTGCTGGCTGACTTGAGTTTTATTAATGATCACACTTGCTGGCTCAAACAACGGATTCAGGTGGTAATAACTTTACCATGGCTAGAGCAATCGAGACGAGACTTTCACAGGTTGCACTTGATTCTGGTGAGGAATTCGAATGGAAGGCCAAAACGATGCACATTTGATGTATGTGTCATCAAATTGCACTCATTGTCAACTCGGGGCTCAAAGCAATTGAAATTACTCCACCTAAGTTGAAATCAACTAAAAAGGCACATCTTGGATCCTTTCCTATTCACGAGACTCTCGCTACAATTCCAGAAGAAGAAGAATTAGATATGACTATTGTTAATGAAGACTCAGAAAATGAAACACAACATGATGAATGGGAAAAGATGACTGATGATGATTGTAATGAAGAGGAGAAAGATCTCGATGATCTGAATCTGGATGGTGACCTCACAGAAAACAATGACTTTCAAATACCAAAGTTATACCAGCCACCCAAGTCAGCAATTGGGATTCCAAACACTCGACTTAACGATCTCACAAAAAAAGTACGTACTCTACCACTACAGAAAAAGTCATCTTTTCGCATGGGTTTACAAAATTCTCGCTTGCATAGAATATTATTGTCTAGCTTTCTTTATCCTTCTTTTCTCATTTATGTGAGATTTCAGTACAGGACAAGTATTTCACTCCATCAATACTATAATCCAGCATGTTATTCATACTCTACCAATTTTAAACCTTGTAAGGCACTGCTCATGATACGCAATCAGTTTGCTTTTCCCTTCTTGCAATCTCTACGTGTTCACAATCTTTTGGATTTTTTTCTGTCTCCAAAATCCTTCCAAACAATTCCTCCACATAACTAGTTGCTAAGCCCATGATCAAAGACTGTCATAGAGATCAAACAAATTTCACTCGATTGTTCTTCTTTGTTTTGTCACCATTCATGCTCAATACAAATTGACAAACCAAGTAAGTGTCACCAGGTGACATTTCTTTGTTGCACTAGTGGGCGTTACCTAAGTGTGTGATCATTGAAAGATCATTCCTGGACTCAAAACTCCAATACCCTCTTTTTGCGATTATGGAATGACTTGTTTTTGAGGGTACAATAATTTCAAAGTGGTTGTCACCCTCATCCTCACATTCCTGCTTCTGTATATCAAAAGCCCGCCCCAAACTTCATGGTTAACCCTTTGTTTATACAGTCAGCTTGCAATTGATTGAAAATGTGTTGATCATCCCTTCTCAAACAGCAACCCACTTGTATACGACCAAATACGATATCTCTCATATAAGTACAATGTCTTATCTTTCCATTCCGGATACCTGCTGAACTGATTGGTGCTTTTTGCTCCACTCGATCAGGCTTTAAAACTTTCTTGATAGCTGCCCTATATCCCTGTCTTCAAATCACAACCAGTACGTTAATCGTCCAACTCGGCGCTCGCTTGTCCCTTCTTTGTCTTGTTGACGCATTTTTCTTTTCCTTTGCTCCAATTGTTAAGCTATGGCCAAATCAAAAGCGAAATCCCCGAAGGCCTCCTCACCTGATATGAAGATGAATTCTCCAACCTCTACCGCTCCTGGAGCCACTACCTCTACCCTTGATGCTAAGTCAATTCCGCCAACAGTCAACAAATCTGAGCCTGCTCCATCCTACGCCAGTCCAAATGCCGAAGTCGATCCCGAAGTCGCGGCCAAGATCTCGACCCTTCCCGAGACTCTCAAAGTCTTCCTCGAACGTGATTTTGAGACAAAATCGAAAAGTGTTCTAAACCTCACTTACTATCAAGTGTTGTTTCACTTTAATCCAAAAACCTCATCCCGCCCGTCTCACCCCAAAGCTAATTTGCTCAAGGCTTTCCTAGAGGATGTACGACCAAAATTAGTCCCGTTCCTTATCGACCCACCTGCACCAGAAACTACTAAGTCGCCAGACGTGAACTTAGATTTTGACCCGCTCCATCGTCGCACCACACGTGGAATGCTAATCGGCGCAATTTTAGCCGCAGACCCTAAGGCTGAGATCCGTGACGGCTCCCGTATTGATCAATTACTTATACTATCCAAAGCACATGTTGATAAGGATTTGTTTCTTCCGGCCAATCACGAATTCACTTGCAAGCCTATGATTATGTCAGCTGCCAAGGCGTGTCAAACCCCGATTGAGAACTTACGATTCGCGATACAGTGCCACGCTCCGCAAATCTTTGTACATTCAATTGCAATGACCCAACCAATTCTTGCCAACTTGTACATCAAATTTGTTCGCGATGAAAAAGTGCCACCCCTTTCTATTATCGAGGGGTACCATTACTCTGTAGTTGCCGAGATGATGGACACCGAAGTTTGAGGTATATCACTAAATCTCACTTGCTCTCGCTTTGTTGTGGATATGAATGAACAACTAACTTCATCCTCTGCTTTGTTGGTAGGTTGCATCACTCAGTTGGCCTAATCATCTACGCACATGTTTGGTTCGATCCTGTTCGATCCTGTGGCTTTTCTGGACCCTAGTTTTTTTATCCTCGCTTTCAATCTGTACAGCAATGGCTGTCGATGTGTATCGCCAGTTCCTATCACATTGGATCAGATTTTTCTTGAGTGTAAGAATTGGTTCTATCAGATTGCATCAGACTATTCCTGTGCTAAATACGTAAGAATTAGCTTCTAACAGATCACATCAGGATGATATCTCATCTCCACCATTGACACATGACGCGTATGTAGACTTAGTTATATGTTCAATCAATACTTGATTTTGTCTTTATGAAATGAAAGATAGTTTGAAAGGGAGTTTGTGAATTGACTTTGCGGGAACAGAGCAAATCGTGCATACCATGATGTAGTGTTATCAGCTAAGAATGGTTTTGTAAGATGATTGATTCAAACTAATATTTTTGTTTCAATTTTTCTTAGCTTTGTTTTCAGTCGTGCATTGAGCCACAGGCTCTTTCAACAGTGATACGAGACACATTTATTATATATATGCACCTCACAGTCTTTGCAATTGCTCCCTACTCATCTCTGCCTTGAGTCCCTAGATTAGTAACAAAATCCCCTGGCTTGACTGTAATTTTCTCTGATTTCAACGCTATCACCATTTCCAGTGTCTAATTATTTTTCTTTTGATTTCCTTTTCCTCAGTCGCAATCTGGCCTACCTGTCGCACACTTTGAAATCTGGATTGACTGTAATTTTCTCTGATTTCAACGCTATCACCATTTTCAACTTCTTCTAATTCTCTTTTGATTTCCTTTTCCTCAGTCGCAAGCTGGCCTACCTGTAGAATTTATCTGATAGCGAAATTCACATGGCTCCTCGCGAAAAGAAGACTGGCAGAGCCCATCGGATTGTTTGTCGTTGCCAGACTTTCGACTGCAACTCTGGAGTTTACTTAGACCCCTCTGGAAACCATCACAAAGGTGTTGAGCTCACTCGAGAAGCTTACGAAGCTCATCAGCGTGCCGACCTTCGAAAGCTCGCGGCATCCTCAATATCTTCGACAAGCACAGTTCCTTCTGCAAACAACGGTGGCTCTGGGGCACAGAGTGACGTGCTTACTCGACTTGGGCAGCTGTCGCTTCACTCGGGATCAAATTCCGATCATACAGAACCAGTTAGTAATCCGAAATATTGATTGAAAATGTATGAAAAACTCACCACTGAAATACACCCACTCACCGCAGCTCCCACCGCCAGCAAATCGATCAAGTCCAGACCACGCTGGTAACTTGGACACTATTGATTCAGGCTTGCCTGAACAATCTCAAACCCAGCATTCGGCTCAAGTACGCTTAGATTTAGCTGTAGATAAGAGTAGTGGGATGGACCCCCTTGATTGTGGTAAGATAACCTTGGCTTGATGTGTTTCACAAGCAACGTCTGATTGATTGTCCAATTGATCTCACGTTACAGGCGAATTCCACATCTTCACCCTTCAGAATGCGAATGCCCTGTGCCTTCACGCTGCACTGAGCGCGGCCATCATAAGCATATTCGACCACACCTCAAGATCTACTAGTGCTTGGTTACTCGATGTACAGCGCATTACAATCGAGCTTTCTTTGACCCGCGGACTTGTACCAAGTCTTTCACACATTCCGTCGAATCTCAGCCCCGTAGACGCTTCAGCCCTACAGAAAATCCCACAAAGCATGGTCACAGTTCTTGGATGGCTTCGACTCGAACCAGACTTGATTTTTATGAACTGCTGTAAGGTGTGCTTTGCTCTTTATCCAATGACAAACACACCAAAACAATGTCATCACCGTATTGCCCGGATCCCTGGAGGGCCTCCCGATGGAAATCACTCAGATAGCGGCGCCATTGTCTCTTCGATGCCAGATAACGATCACGAATTCTTGGTCGAAGTCTGTGGTGAGCCACTTATTCGGTTCTTTCGAGGAAATCCAAAACCTGTCCGCCAGTATGCATTTCAAAGCTTTGTACATTGGCTTGGACGTTTCTTTTCTCGACCAAAGGTTGAGTTATGGCTGGACGAATCCCTTGAAGAATCATCAAAGCCATTTGACCCAGATGCTCAGATCTGCGATATTCATCAGTCGACGTAGGT